TTATCATTCTTATCGAAATATGAAATATTGAGTAAGCAATTACCTAAAGAAATAGCTTATAATGGTATTGAAAGTAGAAGATATACGTGAGTTCAATAATTGCTAATGGATACATCATGTTTATTTATAAACTCCGACATAGTCTCTTCTTCTGCATAGTGCCCTACAGCATGTTGTTTCTCTACAAGATATTTAACAAATCAGTTTCCTCAGTCATTCTGTAGACTTGAAAATTCCAGTCAAGTTGATGTAGAAGTACAAATATTTTTAAAGCATATCATTATGCACAATAAACTTTTGATGATTTTGTACATAATATGGCATCATAAGTCAAAGGCAGTTAATCCATATTATTATATTAATAAAGGATGTTAATTTGGCTAGATCAAATGTTAATTTCAATGCTTGCACAATCAGATGATATTCACTACGATAGATTAGAGTACGATGATCTTGTAAGCCAAGCTAAATACAGATATGTATTGAGTTTATTGAACTCACCGTATCGTAAAATAGGATAATCAAATAGATTGAAGTTGATTTCATGCTAATACGTTGAACTCGATTGAAAATCAGTTAGTAAGTTGGTGTAAATGGCACGGCAGAGATGAAAAGGGATAATGAAAACAAGCTCTAAAAACAATATGATGATAGATCTAACCAATTATCATCGATGAATAACAATTAAATTGTCTTTCAAGCAGAATTATTTAGCAGTTGTTGAAGAAGAATTAATCACGTGTTCCTAACTGATGTAAAAATAATTGAATTGCAGTTTTGTTTATCCATGTTTTTATGTTAATGTTAGTCCACCGATTATATCAGACACTTATTTTAATGTTCTATGCTCCAGCTTAATCAGTAAAAGCATTAATACGTCTATTCAAAAAATGGATGAATTAGCAGAAAGACTTTATTGTCAGCCTCGTGATGAAATCGTTTCCATAAATGAATATTAATAACGGACCTAGTGAGTAACAGTGGATAACAAAAGCATAGCATTAATATGGATGGAGAGCTGATTGTCTAACGATTTGATACGCACATAAAAAGGCTTGTAATTAATATTATCTCAGTAGAAAGTGACCTAGGTAGTCTGTATGTATTGAATTATAGTACTAATGAATAGACGCGATCATCCGCGCAGACTTATAGACTCTTCTACGCCACTGACTCCAACTTTTATACAGGTATATAAGTCAACAAGTCAATAACAAATCTCAGTAATCGCTAATCTGGGATACAGAATAAACTACCTCTGTCTCCAAAAGTAATTTAGTAGTTCAAAGTAGTGCAATAGATTAATTCCATGGATAAAAGAGGATTGAAAACATCTTGAACGGCAATATGAGGAATTTTATTCTACCAATATTTCTCTTATCACTCGCTTTCATATGGAATAATTTAGGTGAGGATGAATAGTTAATTAATTCCTAATTTTATGTATAGAATAGGTCTAAACGAGTTCTTAGGCTAGCATAAATATTCAAATTCATCATGGCGGAATTGTATTTTACAAGATATAACTTTAACTTGACCAATCCATTCCATTAACTGCTATCGTGACATTAGTATAAAATTAGCATCGCCATAACTCTTTTTTTTGTATATTCAATCCAAATCTTCTACGTGACAGTCTAATACATCAATTTTTCATCAATAGTACAAAGTTAATGCATGATAAAATGGTTCTTACAATAGGAATAATGAATGTAACCTTTAAAAGAATCACTGCGTTGACGACCAGATGGGTCGCACTTAAATTCTCCCATGATGTGATCTTGCTAAACAACTATTGTATTGTAACAGTATCAACATCTGTACTATGATCCTAGCTTTAGATTTACTAAATCATGAAAAGAAAGGTTTGCTAGTAACTAAAGTTTTCTATTAACAACTCATAATAAGTTACAGACTGTACCTGTCGGTTAAGATGTAAAAATTACGATTAAAAGTTTTTTAGCTACCTCCAATATTAGCGACACTTAATGGAGTTTAATTAATCCAAACTATCCTGTATTAAGCGAGATTATTATCGTTTCGAATAGTCATTCTATCAATCTTGATAGCCAATAATGCGCGGTATAGAGCTTTATCAGACCGTTAATCGTGATGTTTTTTCTATCTCATTTAATTACGATGATCGGCAACAAGTTGGCTATTGATACGAAATTTAAAATTTACATCAATTTACTCTAATCTTTTAAGCCATCTTTCGATACGAATAACATCCCATTTTTATCATTTACAACTTAATCCTTCATGTAAAGGAAACAAAATATTGATCAATTTTATTACTTAGGCTATTTGTCCAATTCAGACAACTGTCCACTTTGATAATTAATCGGTAAAGGATGTACATTTACTTTTTTATTTAGAAATAACGCTATGATTATGTCGTAGTTCTATCCTAAATATTGACCATGGTAAAAAGAGAATAGTTGTTAATTAATAAACTAGGGTGCATAGGAAAATAGTATCGATCATTTGAGATTAACGTTAAATAGCATTTCATAGACTATTGATAGTTTGAAATGTAGCAATATTTAATGTTCAGCTATATGGCAGAAACGATAATTTAGTCATTTTATTTAAACAGATCTGTTAGCAATAATAGAATTGGTAATAAGGTAGTAACTTATATATTTAATAGCTATCCCGACCATATATTGCTAAAAGAGTACTCCATTAAACATTTTACTCAGATTGTTCCTCCAAATGACACTCTTCCTCCCAAAATTATATAGACGTTTTTATAATTTCAAAATTGCCTTCATATGATGAGTGATTGGTTTCTACACCACACTTATTTGTATAAAAGGGAACAATTTAATAATGAACACACGCACTTGTCTATTTTTAGTCAAGGCATTAAGTTCAAAGTAATTCGTCTTTTACATTATTTCTGTGAACGCTCATTTTTATTCATATAATGCGGAAAGCTTCCTCGTGTATAGGATGCTTTTAAAAACAAATAAGAAAAAACATGCTGCGCATCATATTCCTCGTAATATAGATTTTAAAGCCGATTAAAATAAAGCAAATAGTACTGAAAAGGGTATTTATTAAAGGCTGTTAAAGAAAAGCCAGTAATAGTTATGAGGAAACTAAATTCGTATCAACTGTTTTCCGAAGAAACAGAATTTGAATAAATTGGCATCATCAAAACGATGTAGGAAAATCGAATAGACATTTCCGAAAAGTCGTTCTAAGAAAACACATAACAGTCATTTTTTCATCTTAATTTATTAATTATGAACAGGCTTATCGGATGATGACTTTAATCCCTTCTATCGGTTTATGCTGAAACAAATACAAGGAAATTATTTGATGTGTGTTTGAAAGAAATTCAATGCCGACCTATGGCGCTGAAAATTTTGAAAACACAACGAAATATAATAAATCTTGATGTATGCTATAATTCGAATCTGTATACCTATACTTCTAACGCCTTCTACCGCATCTTTATTTTCCATCGCATTTCTATGGCCATGCTTAAAAGATCATATTCAATTATTAGTTTAATAATAACATTTCAGTATCATCACATTTATTTAATGCCACCGCATTTCGGATGATCTAAAGCTTTCCAGAACGTTTTTGTTTTACTGTCTAATTATGACTAAGAGCACCTGTACTGGTAATGATGGTTGTAGTAAAGTGAGAGCAAATTAGAGTCAGTGTAATAGTTTTTATAGGCGTAGAACGGATACAAGGAGTATGTACATCATTGAAGTAATTAAGGGCAATGTCGAATCTATCTTTTATAGTGATTAGAAATGTTAATTTGTACTGTATATATCAGATAACATCAAAGAAAACTAATATTATACTTTAAGATAAGACAATCTAAATAATAAACAGGCTAAATTATTCATCATTATTGTTTGCCAAATACGGTGTGGCTTTGATGAAATTTAATTAACAGAAAATTTTTATTGTTCAATCTTATTTATTAACTCCGAATAACTTGAAAACATTTACCGACATGCAGCAACTATCCAAGCTAATGAGCACAGGATAGACAGCGTGTTTTCAGATGATCCCATGTATCCTTGCATAGTACCCCTCAGTTTCGAATAAAATAGATTTTCCCCGTTTCAACATTATCTTTTCAATCCTAATCCTTTCAATGATGCAATTTCGCCACTGCTATAACATTCGATCAATATTAGCTTGAATTTAGCAACGCATAGTGATAAAATTGAAATATTCGTATCCGAAATATGGAAATATACATATGAATACTCTATATTAATATTTTTTATTAATAAATTATGTTGTGAAGCAAATTGGTGTTAATTAACTAATCTAGGAAAAATCAAATAATAGCTTTTAGAATTCTAAGAATTCCCAAATTTCCTGCAGATGAAGTGATTAAAAATAATTCTACGTTACCTCTCCATTTTCCCATCATGCTAAAAAATTTTAGAGCATTAATTAATTAATTAATTAATTAATAGTTATTACGTAGAATTTATCCGAAATAATCATGAATATAAATTTGAATGCATAGTTTGGCCTTTGCTTATGTGTTTAAAGATGCCAAAATTATTTAAGATCTATAAGAAATCGAGGATAAAAACTTTGTTTAGAATATTAACTAAATTATCCATTAAATTTTTATATTTTAAACTCTAATCCAAGGAAGTACATTATAAAAATCTTTTTCAAACAATATTGAAAATCACCTGAGATCTATAAAAAATAAATAAAAAATAACTGATTTATGATAGGAATTAAATAAAGATATTTATAATTTAATTGCTTACGTATCCACTTCATGCATATTGATTAATTACAATCAATAAATGAAATCAATTTCCATTATAAACTTGATTCACAAGCTATTACATTAAATTTACCTCATTGAATTGGTACCATGTTGGTATCTCTACTATTATCCATGCTAGTAAATGAATTACTAGGTTAAATGACAGCAATTAATCACTAACAGCTGCATTTATGGTTACTAATTTGAAAAATTTCTGCCTGCAGCTTCAGCCGGATACCTGATTTATACTAATCCCAGTGAAATTCGTATCGTTGACACAAATGGGAAAGGTGATCGATTGCTAATTTCAGGATTACATTACGCAGTTGCCATTGATTACCACCTCAAGAAGAAAGCTGTCTATTGGACAGACTCCAAAACCGGCCGTATAAGCCATTTTAATTACAAGGACATGTCAGCTTTGAAAAATAATGCCCATTATACTGCGTTAGAGGCTAAAGTTGTGCCTAACCTCCAATTTGATTCGCTGGCTGGAATAGCTGTTGATTGGATCAACGATAAACTTTATTTTATCGACGATGATAACCACCGAATTTATGTTAGTAATCTAGATGGAACAAATGCGAAAGCCTTATTCACTGAAGGGATTGCCTATCCAAGAGCTATTGCCGTCGATCCTCTTCAAGGGTAAGGAATATTAATGATAAAACAACTTTGATTGGAAAGGCAGCTATCGAGCAATGTAGTGTTTGGGAATTTTGATATACTGGCCCAAAGAGAGTATACAAACTTCTTTAACATTTGTTAAGATTGAGTGTTTCAATTGTTGGGCACATTCAACTGTTTTATTTTATTTCATGGAACACCTCGATGTATAATCTTGTGATTGTTTTTATACCTGTCCTATACTTCATTAAGTATTATCTTTATTGGTATAGGTATATTTATTGGACTGAGTGGGGCGATAAGAATAAAATCGTTCGCGCAGCCATGGACGGTTCAGCAAAGCAAATTATTCGAAGTGACAATATGTACTGGCCCAATGGTTTGTCCATCGATTATTTAACTGAAAAGCTTTTCTTCACCGATGGCTATACCAAAGCAATCTATCGTTTAGATTTGAATGGTAGTAATTTTGTCAGCATAAAATCGAACTTACAACATCCACATGACATCACCGTTCATGGTAAACGATTATTTTGGACGGATTGGGAAGCATTTGCAATACAATCATGCCATAAAACGAGTGGTAAAGAAGGTCGTAAAATTATAACTGGTAATAAGACTCCCTTGGGAATTAAAAGTCTAGCGCCGAAGCATCAACCCAGAGGTTCATATCGAGCTTAACTTATAGAACGCTCTCATTGAAGTTTGCATACAGTAGTGCTATTTTGATTTCATTTTGATATAGTTTCCTTCTTTTGCAGTAAAATTGTATCTATGATTTCAAATTATGCATAGATTACTCTCTATTTGAAATTTACATACAGTAGTACTATTTTAATTCGATTTTTATATCGATCTTATTCATTTCCATTTACTTTCCTTCTTTTGCAGTAAATTTGATGTCTCCTTTTATAATTTCAAATTATGCTAACATTAGTTATCTATTTTCAAAAATAGCCCATAATCCATGTGGCCATAATAACGGAAACTGTAGCCATTTATGCTTAATATCCCCATCTCAAGGAAATAATAGCCAATCGACAGGTTATACGTGTGCTTGTCCAACTGGTGTCAGCTTTAAATCGGGAAAAGTTTGTCATTCAGGTAAATTGACTGCATTTCTGCTGTTGGCCCAATAGAATATCATTCAAAATGCTTTATTATACTGTATTATATGATGTATTATCGCTTTTTAAAAAAGAAAGTAAATTACTTTAATATTGACAGAGCCATCTCATCCAGCAATACTACCTATTCTTTTGATAACTTGTGCAAATTGAGTAGGTTTCTACATCTTGAAAAAGCTGGCAATATTCCAACTTGATGCGAGCTCTATTTACTTAATATTTACACCGCCCATTATATTCTTGTACCCTAAAATAGTAAAGCAATTACTGATTAAACAATCCGATCCCTATCTTACTTCATAACATTTTCACATTACCTTTGCTCGAAATGCCACTCCTCTATTTATCTCTGATTATAACTAATTTAAATGCATTCAAAATAAGTCATTGAATTTGTATTTTTAGAATTTTAAAATTAAGACCACTGTGACTGTGGTAATAATTAAAAAAAAAACCATTCATTCTGCTTTCTTATGGATTGCGTAGGTCCAATTAACTTTTTACTGATTACAAGGCGCAGTGATTTACGCTGGATGTCGTTGGATGCACCACAATTTATCGATGTTAGAATCAATATTCAAGATATCAAGCATGCTTTCGACGTAACTTACGATCCAGTCGATCATTATATTTATTGGGCTGACAACATCATTCAGGCCATACTACGAGCAAAATTAGATGGTAGTGGAGCATCAGTTATTATACCAAATATTCAGTCACCGGAAGGACTAGCTATAGACTGGATAGCTCGTACAATTTATTGGACTGACAAGATTGAAAAGAAAATTGAAGTAGCTACGTTAAATGGAACTCAACGTAAAACTATCATTAAGACCGATTTGGATACGCCAAGAGCCATTGCTATCGATCCATTTCGAGGGTATAACGATAGCCTATTTAGAATGTTGAATTCAATACTGTTGTTCTATAAAGCGAAGTTAGTGCTAGGTCGTACTTTGCTGAAGTTGGAAAGCCGCATAATGAATACATTAGCGTAGTATACTGAAGCTTTTTCGATTCCAGAAGAGAATTTACAATCTAATTTCATCTCGAATAAATAAAAATAAGAACAATTAATCCATGTAAAATAATTATAATTTATCTGAACATACCAAGAAATAGTAGATTTAGATAAAAAAAGATCCGCGAAAGTAGACAAAGTGATCATTTTTAACATTATCCTTTCACTGTCCTTGACTTTTCAGTAGTAATTCTTTGATCAAAATTTCAAAGTAGTATTTCAGCGTATGGTTACGCATAAAACTTTAATTTTTTATTATAGTTACTTAAATAAAGAAGAATGAATGATGATTATTCGTTATGTAGATAGTATCATTAATCGAGATTATTGCATATCATAACGCTATGATATAGATACATATTTTGGAGTGATTGGGGAAAAGTACCAAAGATCGAGAGAGCTTATTTGGATGGTTCTGATCGAAAAGTAATCGTCAATGATTCCATCGTTTGGCCAAATGGCATCGCGATCGATTACGACAAGCAAATACTCTACTGGGCTGATGCTGACCGTGATACCATTGAAATTTCTGATTTAAACGGTCATGGAAGGAAGACATTGGTCAAAAACAATCTCTTTCATGTTTTTGGTTTGACTTTGCAAGGTGATTACATTTACTATTCAGATTGGATTAAGCGAAAAGTGGAAAGAATCCATAAGAGTAATCCAACCACCCCTGAAGTGGTCTACCATCGGTCAGATTTAATGGGATTAGCTGCTGTCGATTTAGCATTTTACCAACGAGCAGGTAGGGTAGGGTAATCAATATCAATGTCTATTTCCTCTTTGCATAAGGATTATCATTATACAGAAATATTCCTATACTAAATTTAAGTATGATATAAACAGGCGCCGGAAATAATACCTGTGCTCATAAAAATGGCGGATGTAGTCACTATTGCTTTTTTAGAGGCAGTGGCCATATTTGTTCTTGTCCTTTCGGCTATGAATTACAGGAAGATGAAAAAACTTGCTTCGGTAAGTATTTAATATTCAAGAGCGATCAGCCAATGATATATATCATTAGAAGATATAGGTGATGAAGTTATTATACACGTACACAATACGACGCTACTGAAAAAGAACTGACTTAATGATATAGAATTGCTTAGAAGATCTTAGCCGTTTTATACTATATCAATCCATTTTAAGGGTGTGCAAAATGTCTTAGGTTCATTTGCGTACTACTTTAGGTTACTCTATTCTTATTCTGACAAAAAATGTTTTTATTCTCACCAGTAAATAATTTAGTAAGAAGTTCTACTTTGGTCTCGTTATTTGCAAAATACGTTAGACTTATTTGTGTACTTGGCTGCTCTATTCTTATTCCGACAAGTTATTTTCTTTATTGCTTACCAATGAATAACAAGTTCTATTTTGGTACCATCATGACTAATTGTATCTTCTAATTTGTATCCTTCATTCTAGTTCCGAACGCTTTCTTTCTATTGCTAACAAGCAAGCAGTTATACCGTCTATCACTAAATGATCGATATGATATCAAGAAATTGCCTATTAATGGTATTCAAGGTGGTAGTGGACTATCGTTTGATAGTCGAACAGAAGAAGTCTATTGGAGTGATATTGAATTGAAGCAAATTTCATCATCGTACTTAAATGGAACGAATAGAAACGTTATTATTGAATTTGATCTAGCTAGTCCAAATTCGATCGCTTTCGATTGGACTACCAAATATATATACTGGACAGATAACATTCTTAATCGAATTGAAGTTACCAAGTCTGATGGAACAGCTCGTAAAATTTTGATTTGGCAAGACTTGTACAAGCCCAGCTATCTTGTGATACATCCGAAGGAGGGGTAAGTTATAATCAAGCGCTCTGTATTTCACTTTCGTATTGATATAATTATTGAATCGAAATGAACTGTGCTGTAGCTTTGATTTAATTCGTTATCCATTTAGTTTTGAATAAATGGAGATGACTAAAATTTAGTACGTAGTGATCTAAATTACATCACAACATAGTCATATTCAGTTTACATGGGATAAAATTCCTTAGCAGTCAATGTTTAGACTTGAATTATTGTAAATTCAAAAAGTCCTCCAATTCACCATGATAGAACCAATTGAGCCATAAGAATGCACCTATAAGCAAAACTTTACTTCTAAAGTTTCTACCGCAACTACTATATCAGTAAATTGGTCATTACCTTTGCAATAACTATCTAATCCTTAATCTTATTTGTCCTAATTATAGATTATTATTTTGGGTCAATCATAATTCTAATGTACTTGATGGGGCTAAAATAGAAAGATCTACTTTAGCTGGAACAGAGCGGAAGACAATCGTAGAAGTAGCAGGCATTCCAGTCAGTTTAGAAATCGATTTCGATAATGATCGCATCTTTTGGATTGATTCTACCAGAAAACGTATCTATTCTGCATCACTCCTTGGTACCAATCTGGAAATGATTCCCGAATTCATGTCTAGCTCTAACTTTTTATCAATCTACGAGGATAAATTATATTGGATTGACAGCAAAGAAAGCCACATTATGAAAGCAAATAAAACTAATTTTCAAAGGGAGCATGTGCACGATTTACGGAATTTTGACGATCATCCCAACAACTTATTGGTATATCATAAAAATCGCCAAAAACGTAAGCGATAGTAGTTTGATGACTGTCTATTAAAATAGAGTTAAGATAGAAATAACAGTAAACTAAAATGGTTATAATTATATCCAATGTAGAAACAAGCAACATTTGTCATTAAGCATAGTAGATACGATTACTACTTTCGGAAATAATACCCTAATGCGTCCAAGTAAAATTTATGGATTTTCTGTTCTTATTCTTGACCGAGTAGATGGTAGCGCTTGCGATAAACCTCGTAACCCTTGTAGGGAACTATGCCTCTCAATCTCGAGTAAAGATGCAGTATGTGAATGCTCTACTCATCTGGTGGCGAAAGGTGGTAAATGTACAGGTAAGGATCAGATCGATTTGTAGGTAATAAATTCATCACTAAATTGAAATGAAGACGGCATTGTTGGTATTACACTAATCGTTTATCGGTTTGGGTACAAAATCTAATTTTAACTATAATTGTCTATCTTACCATGATACCAAGCTTTCTTTATTTGGCTTTCATTTTATAGAACCCAATGCATATCTGCTGTTTGCTCAGCAAGAGACAATTAGCAAAGCCGATTTAGATGGCAAAAGCAATCCTCACACGTTATTACCAATTCAAGATATGCATGTTTATCCTGGTACGAAAAACTTTATAAAATCAAAGCATCAAATTCATTCCATTACCTATGATGAAGTGCAAAAATATTACTATTGGATTGATAAAAATGATCAGGGCCATTCAGTTATTAATCGAGCTGCTAAATCAACATCAGAGCTTGTAGAATACCAAGAAGTGGTTAATGAAAAGAAACAAGATATTTATGATATAGCGTTAGATTCAGTTAATCGCTATCTCTTTTGGTCATCAGAGAACTTACACAGTATTCAGGTTGCTAAAATAGGCGAATGGAAAAGTTATTATGCTGTAATAGGGTATCAGTATGCTCCAAGATCAATTGCGATTGATCCCTATAAAAGGTAAATCATTTCTTGAGTATAATAGCAATTGTATTTGCTTTTCTACTTGCTTCTCCTATTCTCATGAATTTCATAGATTATTAAACTATGTATAATTGACTTATGTAGATAGTGGATCAGTTTTTAATGGGAATTTGATCTTAATTATTTTACAGCCATATCTACTGGATTCATGCTGGCTCAGCAGATTCACCAAAGATTTATCGTTGCAACTACGATGCGACCTATTCCGCTATTCTTATCGAAAACGAATTGTATCAGCCAACATCACTAACAATCGATATTTCAAATTCCTCCAATCGGCTTTATTGGATTGATCTTGGAACTAGAACTATCTCATCTGCTCGTTCTGATGGCACGAACCGACATGATCTAGATTTCAACGTTAAAAGCCCAATCAACCCATATTCGGTGGCTATTTATTCCAAGTATATTTATTGGGCTGATCTTCAAGATAGTGCCATTTATAGAAGCTATAAATTACCCAAGAGCCCGCTTTATGCAGTACCTCAACTTGTTTTTAATCGCTTGAGTGATCTAACTGGGATTAATGTAGTCAACAATTTTAATATGAAGGGTAAGATTGTCTCAATTTACAGTATACAGCATGAATTTTTAATTTCAATTCTAAACATATATTTATGTGTCGATATATGTGTTAAGATAAATATATATATATATATATATATATTTGTATATATAGAGAGAAAACCTATAAAATTACAATTACATTGAGAAATAAACATTACATACATTTGAAAAACTAGGTTCCGGAGCTTGCTCAAATCATAACTGCACCCATTTGTGCATAGTAGATTCTTATCAAAAATCAACTTTTCGTTGTTCTTGTCCATTTGGCTATCGTATTCTCAATGATAGTCGAACATGTCAAGGTAAATATAATCAGATTTGATACGTCTTATAAGATACTAGCTTAGATTAACGCATTACTTATTTCTTCAAACTACTCGTATTAAAAAGCTTGGCTACTGAGTAATTTAATTTCTAAGAAATCAACTCCTATTTTTATTCTATTGATAATTAGAAATTAAAGAATGTGGGAAAGGGGAATTTAAATGCCGATCACCTAGCATCTCTACCTGTATTAATGAAAAATCAAGATGCGATAATATAATCAATTGTATTGATAATTCAGATGAAATTAATTGTCGTAAGTTGAAATTTCTTACATTAAATAAAATATCAAGAAAATGGAGTAACTAGGTTCTAATTATTCCTATGTTTTTATTTGCAAATCGAATCAATACTAAAATGGATAGCGAAATGTTCACCATTCCAATTTCATTGCAAAAACGATAAATGTATACCATGGCATAAAAAATGTGACGGCATTAATGACTGTGATGATAATTCCGATGAGTTTAGCTGCGGTAGGTGGACATCTATTACGATTTCTTTATTAATTACAGTTGCTAAAATGCTTGCGCTAATTTTTGGATATTCATAACATTAATCTATTCCATGATTTAAGTTCTGATTTTGCTAGTCGCTTGAACAGAATAAATTAGAGTGAAAATAACTGCATTTATCTTCTATTCAAACGTTATTATTCATTCACGATTTTTATTTATATTTATTATAGCTATTTCTTATTTTATTTATACTTCAGTCTTTAATTCATTAATATGATGTGTTCATTGTGAGATCATTTAAGCTGCGATTTTAGCTAATTATAGTAACGCTTCATTGATGACAATTATCTTGATTAATTATAGTTTTGAAACCCACAACGATTGCAGCAACAACAATTATTACGTTATCAAGCAAACCACCGACAAGCGTTACTGATTCACAAACTAAAGGTTTTGATTTCAAACACTTGGTGATCATTTCTGTTGCTAGTGTGGCCTTTGTCCTCTTGTTGGTTGGAATTATCATATGGCGTTGTTCTAAACGAAAAAATAAAAAAGTAGACGATGTCCTAGAAACAAAAAGTGGCAAAACTTACATCGGACAAGGTGACATTAGAAATGACAACCAAGAAAGCAACATCGATGGCAATAATCAAACCAATACCAATGGAAATAACATTACAGTTTCAATTAATCGCTTGCCCTTACCTGAGAATTACTCTACTTGTCGAGGATTATCACAAATTTATGGCAATGAAATTTCTGCCAAGAGCTTGGAAACATTTCATTCCAATCCACCACCTACACCTAATAATCTAAGTTCGGATAATGATGACTATTATGATATTGAAGACGAGGACGAAGGTACTTTGGTTGATGAAACCGATACTGCAGTGCTTGAGACTGATTCGGATTATCAATTTTATCACCCTCCTCCAAATACTTCCGATAGTGCATTTTCGGATGGGAGTACAATCAATATTTATACTGGCTTATATGCTCCACCACCAAGTAGTGTATCCTCTTCAAGCATAGCTGAAAATTCTGACTTTCAAGATCGAGATCGTTGTAGCACTTACTCCGATTGTAGCCTTAAATATGATAGTTATAGTTCTGTAACACCAGAAAAAATTGCACATAGGCAGCGAAAGAAATTTCATAAACGAGAAAATATAGTAACATTATAATTAGTAGAGTCTGTACCTGTCTAGAATTTATTCTATCGAATTTAAATTGCCTTTCATCACATCTATAAAATTAATATAGTATGGATTAACACTAAAAGTATAAGTATTAATGCACGTAAATGTATGTGCAGATACTGTATGTTTGTATAAAAAATATCCAAGAAGAGCTTTAGCAAGATTGAGATTAGGCATATACAAGCGCAAACAATTCGTTACGATAGTTAAATGGCAATTGCCATATGAATCTCTATCACACTGATTTTATTGATAGCGTAGTAATTTCACACAATTTTAAACAGTTGATGGAAGAAATGCAATTTCTATATTGTATGTTGTAAACCTTTGACATGATACTTATTTCCTGATATCCCATCACTGGCGGTATTACTCAAATTCCTTGCGGGATTATTATCTAGAGGAATACCATCATTTTTACTGTTCATTTCTTATTTGTTATTACTATGCAGCAGTATGCACATCGATTTTTTCTCTCTATAAATCTTAAGATTATAATTTATGCAGCACCATGTTGGATGGTTTATTTTAATGCCGCTAACCAGACTTCAATAGTCGCACGCTCTCACTTATAATAGGTAGCAGTAAGCACATCGATTTCTTCACATTTAAAATCTTAGGATTGCAAATTATTTAGCACCATGTTGGTGGATTTATTTTAATGCCACTAACTAAATGTCAATGGTTGTACTTATGGCACTTCATGAGTAAAAGCAAGAAATTTAATTTCTGCTGTTGACTATTCTTCTCTCTAATTCTATGTATTTCATGAATAGTGCTATTCAATAATATTTAAAGTTAAAACGCGGTACTTCATTTTTCTCCAGCTTGATATAACCTTCATGCTTTCCTCTAAGATTATCATATAAAATCTCTTACCATGATAATGGATGATTGTTTATAATTCTTTTGAAAAACTATAAATTGTAAATAATAATTACTATGAAAGAAATGATTTTATGGTTCTATTGCTCTAATTATTATAATAATTTTCGCTGTTACTTACTACGTCAATATTAAGCAATGGACTCAAGATTGAACAAAAGAAATAAAGATACATTAAAAGATCTTCAATATACATCTAATTTGTTACTTTCAGTTAGAATATGGCCAAACATTGTTTGTTACAGGATCGGAATTGATAAAAATTTTAGTCTTATAACGCATTTAAATCATTGTGAGATTGTACTATATGAGATTTTATGAATTCAGAAATAATTATCATGAAAACCGTGACTAAATCACCAAAGGTTATTATAGGTAGCTTGGTCAACAGCAGTATGGGCTATCTGTATCGGTTATATTGTAATCTTTATGGCTGCTTTAATATAGCTAAAATAAGTGATTCCTACTCTTCAGGGTTCTTAGGAGCATATCGCACGGTATATTCCAGTTTATTACTTAAGTGATATTGTAGATCAACAGATATGCGTATAATATTTATAAATATTCAACTAATATTGAAATTTACTCTTTTCTAGAAGAGAGTAGATAAATATGGTGCTGCTGCCTGCTAAGGTAATATATTATTGTATTATCCATATCAAATATTGTTGAAAGGTTAAAAATGGCAGCACTAACTTTCATGATTTATCAAATTTATCAAGCCCTATACTGTAGTTTGCTATATGTTTATATGAGATTAATTTAAGCATTTTTTGGACCATTACTATAAGATGAGATAACTTTATCAGCTAATTAAACTCGATCCAGATATTCAATAATGGAATTTTAAAATGACGCTCTATCAGATATGACAAGAACTGCGACGAATTGGAATTCATTGCTGAAAGCTTACTTGTACCTTTAACACTATTTCAAGGCTGAAAATTCTGTTTATTTTAAGAATACTTAATCTCTCTTCGACATATTCTTAAAACTAGCTATCGTACAAAGAGATTGATTAGTAATATAAATTTGAAGTCGTAGAAAAGTCTATTTTGACATTGTATGCTCAACTTTGTTTATATTTCTGTTTTTACTAAGCACTAAAATAATTAAAATCATCTTCTTTATAAGATCAAATTAATAACGGCTAAAATCTTAATGTCAATTAAATGGTAAATTAAGCCTTTAATATAAAATTTAATCTCAAGTAGATCTACTGTATAGTAGTTTTATCACAAGTGCTTGATCATTTTTTACTTGTGCTACTGATCTTGAAGAATAAGTAGCCCTTTCGAATGTTTCTTTATCATGAAAGCTTTCAAAACTAAAGGTTTTCAATGAGTACGATCTAAGAATTCGATTTAGGTATGTAATATGAAGATATCTCAAAGCAGCCATATAGACCAATGTTATAAATTTCAGGACACTATCTGCGAAAGTAAAATCATTCGTTATAGAATATTTAATTCTTGTTGTACCGGTATTGTACAAATAATTTACGACAAGTAGAAGAAGGATAATAGAATATTTCAAAATTTTTAACCTCTTTTAGCTAAATTCTTAAAATTAGCTATTAGATAAAGAGATTGATTAGTAATAACAGTTTGAAGTCATAGAAAAGTCTATATTGACAAATTATACTCAAGTATACTTAAATTTCTATTTTTATTAAGCAGAATATGATTAAAATTATCTTATTTATAAGATAAAATCAATAGTTAAAAAACTCAAAGTCAATTAAATGATAAATTATGCCTTTAATATAACTTTCAATTTCAAGTAGACCTAGAGTACAGCAAATTTTTTCATGTAATACTTGATCATTATTTACTTGTGCTACTGATTTTGAAGAATAAATGGCCATTCCTAATATCTTTTTCATGATGAGCTTTCAAAACTAAGGTTTTCTATAAGTATAATCTAAGAATTATCCGATTTAGCATACAATAACAGACTAAAGCCATAATTTCAGAACACTAACTACGACAGTAACCTATTTCTAATAGTATATTCATTTTTTATTATACTACACAAATAACATGCAACAAGTAAAAGAGGGATAGTTGAATATTTCTAATCTTCATAAATAGGCAGTTAAGATGTTTACAGTAATTGGCACGGTAGTAAGTGTGTTACTTAAGTAAGCTGATTCCGTACTACACAGTTAAGATATAAGATTTTTGAAGCAGTTCTTTGACACAGTCACTTTGTGTCTGTTAATAGAATGTTAATGTTGATTTACATATTTATATTACTAGAAGAAGTAAATCCGTTATTAATATTAGATAGAACAAAAAAATGAGTGATCTTGATCTAATTTAAAAGTAAGTTGTTAGTCCTTCATTTTTTATTTTTTCTGTAGATAATTCATACGTTCGATAAGTGGTACCATACATGTTAGGCAGTGTTGCAAAATCTCCATGATCGGTTACTAGACGATCAATTTAGGATCCACGATTAGTTATTAGAATCAGAGACATGAGAAATTATGCGAAGGTGATCAATATATTCATTGAAGAAAAAGCTTACCTGAAAATTGTCGAGGTCGACTAACATCATGAACTTGTGATTGTTGGACTTGTTTAAGATCATGATTTTCATACGTTGAATACGTTGGTTTTAAACCACTAAAGGAAAAAATTCAATAAATTAAGTAAAATTATCTATTCTTATTGCTAAAAGAATATAACACTAAATAATTTAAATTAATGTAGCTGTAAAGGATGTAATGGTCATAAAATTGAGCAACTCTATTCTCATAACACGGTAATATCTACATTTAGAATTACCTGTTTGGTACAAAATTTGCAGATTTTGGAGTTCGAATCTCCTTAATTTTAGAAAAATAGGGATTTCTATTTGTTAAAGGTCCGGTTGGAGTTGGTAATTTAGGTAGTACGCTGCAGGAGTGAATATTAGTTTATGTTCGTCAATGCTTAAAAAAACCAGTCCAAACGGAATAACTGACATAAAGTTTATCCTTGCATATAGATTAGCTAAAAGGAAAATTATCTCAAGAAAATTTGCTTAACTGATAGGTAGATTTATTCGAAAATAGCAAGTTAAATATTATTATGGAAACGTCATATTATAGAGCTGTAATTTATTTTCTAGATCTAGTATTCAATTGATAGGCAAATGGGCTTACTTCTGCTTTGGACCAAATCCGCGAACTTTCGGAAAATTTTCGCATGCCCAATAGGTAGCAATATCATTTTTTGCATAAGGCGCAATTTTCTCCTGGGTATGATGTTCAAAGCTCAACTGTGACTGGGTTGCATATGGATCAAAATATTTTTCTACATTACTTTTTCGGACGGACTCTTTAATGTAGATTGGCTTCAGCTTTCCGTCATTAAACTAAGTAAGAATCATTTAATGATTAGGTAGGTGGTATAATCTTATTGAATAATATCACAACAAACACGATGGCCTTTCAATACTGCAATAGATTCGAATAGCGTATAAAATCGAAATTAGTCTTGTTGACACTACTTACTTGGTTTTGAAATCTAGAATGATGCTCATTTAAGATATGTGGCCGATTTGCACTTAAATTAATTTGGACATCTCTTTCTCCGTTGTAATTCGATTTCATTTCAGTATTTTGATTTCCTGTCGTTAGCTCTCGTCCTCTGGGAAGCGAATCGATCTACGCAAAGTAAATCATAGTATCAGAGATTGTTGGCAATTGCAGCTAATTAAGGCCACAAAGATAAGGAATTCTTGTCAATAGCAATATAAAGTTTCGTTTTGAATCACTTATATCTTTATCAAGCGACAATAAGTTAATGAAAATGCTAGAAATTGTAAGCAACATCTAAAATAGTTGTATCAAATTATTTCGTAATTTAGGCTTGAGATAATCTGGTAATCGCTTTAATTTTATGAAGTTTAGGATTAGGATATAATTCAGAGACTTACTTTTTCTATAACATTGCCAGTATATTGAACTTGGTAGAAAGGTTGCGGTTTGGTGTATCTCGAATTTTTAAACTGACTTGGGTTTTCATGATTATACAGTGTATCATTATTAGTTGTTGTATACATCTGTTTTGTCAGATTATATTTTCCTTCTCGTATTCCAAGAGGTATGGAATTTCTAGGAGCCTAAAAAAACAAAATGCCTTAGTAATAAATCTGATTGTGAAGCATTTGTACCATCAAAATTTAGCTAATTAATATGCTTGTAATTCTAGTTAACAAGCAATTGCCCCGAAGTTGTTGTCAATGGTATAATAATAAATGCTCTAGAGAATGGACCGTAAACACACGTTACTTCGCTAATTATTTATATCAATTTAGGATATTATTTTTAATTTCGAGCAAGCGAATTTAAACTGTCATGGTTACATTTGTTGAGAATTATATTATCCAATTAATTCATAGTTCCCTTCCGAAGCCTAACTGATGTATGAAGACATTTGTCCATTAGTTTCAATAAATTTTGCGAATACCGTAGGCTAAATGTAATAAAGAATGATCCATTGATCAATAGGTGGAACTTTAATCATTTCATACTTAGTCATTTAAACGATACACTGATTTCTAACTTAAAGGGATCTACTCATCATTACGGATTTGAGCATGGAATTTAAAATCATGATTGTCGTCTAATTCATTACCTTTACCGCTAACTATAACAGAATTTTAGATAGAAAATCCAATTTTCCTAAACATTACAACAAATTATAGTATTTGACATCTTCATTTAAGCAACGCTAATAAGGTACGGAGTATAAAGTCCTTACAACTAGAAATTTTAATGGAAAGAGTATAAGATTGGCCGCTATTTGTCGACAATTAGTTCCAGCATTAATAAAAATATTATAAGAAAGCTGCATCTGTATTTGAATTCATCTAATAGTAGAGCAATTATAGCGTTTACTATCTTTATTCAAACAACCCCTAGTAAGGTACGGAGCATAAAGTCCTTAGAGTTAGAAATCTTAATGTAAAAAGTATTGGATTTGACTGCTATCTGTCGAAAATTAATTTGAACACAAATAATTTTATTCGAAAATTACATCTTTACCCCAATTCATCTATACCTAATGACAATATTATTCTCTAATTATTCTCTCATATTAATTCGAGCAAAAAGTTAAACTTTAATTGGCATATACCTTAAAATTAGAGCTAGGAAATGGACCGTCGGGACCAGGGTTATATCCAATTCTAGTTGAAGTAGTTAATGTTGGCTGATTACTATCAATCATTTTGTAGGCTTTATCTAATGTTGTCGATTGTGCTGATGAATTCGATTTATATTGTACATAAAATTCTATTTCAAATTAAGATCGAATGTTTCTTGCACTGGAACTGATCCTATTAATTTATAAAGTAGCGAATAAAAAAGGAACCGAATCGATGATTTAAAAATGATTTGAGCGATAATTGTAACTATTGCTCTATAAGAAAATAAATGGAGAAGTAGGTTATGAATATGGATACATAATGAGAATCTAACCTCCTCGATGTCCGTAGAATTTTAATAACCAGGTTGCTATGGTGATAAGAAAGCGTGATCAGTTGTGATGGTAACCTCCTGCTAGCAACTTATCATGCATGATAGAGTATCTCGATTCCAACAAATAAAATTATCATGACAATAAAGCCGTTAAATGGCTCTAGTGATTGGTCGATAGAATACCGTTATTGGCTATCCAAATGAAATACGCAAAGTCAAACTGAATATGAATTACTCTAGTCTATCTCAATCTAGACACTTACCCTATTATGCTATTAGTCTGTAAGGAGAGTAGCAAATAAAATCAGAATAGTAACTTGTTCAGTATGATATTGTAAGGCATGATTGATACGTTATTTATCTTCATACTAGATAATTTCAAGTTTATAAAGTGAATAGTAAAAGTGGACAAGTGATCTAACGATAGGTGAATAATATTATACTGGTAGTAGAGTTGATGGATTAATAAAATTTTATTCATATCGTTATATCTCGTAACATAATATTGCTAGAATAAGATCATCATTTATTACTTTTTCTGCTCAAATTGCTCTCAATGATTGTTCCGGCTAAAGTCAAGAAAATTAGCGTCATTGACTGAACGTAATTAAAAGAATTAACGTGTTGCAGTTACTTATTATTAATCCTTCAATATCTTTACCAATTTACCATTTTAATCCTATAACCCATCTTAAAATGTTGATCCATGGGTCACATTAAAACATTCTTAAGAGTTAAACCGAGTAAAAATCCTTGTAAATACTTTGTCGCATCAGATCAGTCTATACGAGTTAGTTTACCCGAATCATTTTTCTCCAATAAGTTTAATAAAAGTCAACATCAACGGATCATAAGTCATGAATTTCTTTACGATGGCGTTTTTGGACCTGATGCCTTACAAGATCAAATTTTTGAAGCAGTGGCTATGCCTGTAGTGGACAGATTTCTTCAAGGCTATAACGGTACAATATTTGCATATGGTCAAACTGGTTCCGGTAAAACTCATACCATCGATGGTAGCCAAAAATATTTTCAAGATAGAGGCATAATACCTCGTATCCTATCAGCAATTTATGGTAACATCAAGCAAATAGATAGCAAAGATATCTCTATCCACGTTACTTATATGGAGATATATAAGGAAGTAGGATATGATTTGCTCAATCCTGCAACAAAAGCTGGCTCTATGATTATTGAGTTGCCAAGGGTATGCTAAGAAATTATTATTTCGATTCAGTTTTAGTTTAGAAATATAAGTGCGAATATGGAAATAAATTTTAAGCTAATCTTTCTATTTTAGAACTATTTTCAAGCAAAATCTATTATGTTTTATAGCTATATATCCCTTCTAGTATCTTATTTTACACTTAATAGTTATTTCGTTAACTTCAATACATAACTACTGGAAGAGTATATGCAGACGTCTTATTTCATCGAAAGATTTTAGGCCATGTTCTGTAAGCGTTACTATCTGAAGTATAGTAAATAATGGCTAGATTTTTGCATTAGTATAGGCTAAGTTTGCTAACAAGCACAAGAAAGTATCACACGTTTCACAATTTGCTGTACTTGAAGTAATTTTAATCACTTTGAGTGACCGTTTATTATAATTTATCGATTGGTCTTTTACTAGATATGTTCATATCGACTATAAGAAATTATCTAAATTTCAGAAGATTAAGCATAGCACATACAATACTACTTTATCAACCAGATTGCTGCAATCGACTATTTAAAATATCGAATCGTGACTTTATACTTAGTACAATAATTTATCATTTCTTAGTCTTCAGAGCTGTGTTCTCAACGCAGATAATTTAGGCTACAGAATTACATTACTCTATTTTATTCTTCAGCCATAATATTATTTAGCAGAAATATTACGAAAATATGATTAGTATGCGCCAATATTTTGATGATACTGCTATAGAATACCAATTTAGTTACTACGAGTTAAATGATAGTTACCTAATTAAAGTTATAATTTATCCTTCTTATATAGACTTAAGTTTCGCCAGTAAAAGAATTATATGAGCAATTTCATGACATTAATTACCATGGAACTTTGTTAGAACCTTGTGGAAAATAATTTTAGATCAATATTCAACTGTATCGATAGCTTCTACATACTGTTTACCTAACAGTCCAAAATTTGGTCTACATAATTCACTGTTTCTTCAATGTTCACAGCTAGTGATTAGCAAATATATAGCTATATTTTAGGCTACTAGTACATGTTAGCTTTTAACATTTTACTCTTGTAACCTTACACCCTCGCGTGATAGTACTTCAAAATTATTCTTTATATATTTCGTTAAGACTGCAACCCACTAATTGTCCCGGCATTAATCAGTATATGTATCCATTTTGAACAGAGTTTTACCATGGTATTATCTTATTTAATCTTTATTAACTTCCAGTTTATTTTTCTCATTTCCGGCTAGGTTCAAATATTAGATGGTGGAAGAGAAGGTGCACTTATCCGTAACTTATCTTCTCACTTAGCTTCAAACGAAAGAATTGCTCAAGATCTGATGTTCCAAGGCAGAGCTAATAAAAAAATTGCCGAAACGCCTATGAATCATAATTCATCTCGATCCCATACAATATTTACCATTATACAAACTACAACATCTCAGGATACCCCGACAATTACAAGGTCAGTAATTCTTGAGAAAGAAAATTGAATCTTTATTGAGTCCTAAGTAAAATACTTTTGTATTTAAGTATATTAATTAATACTAATGAAAGTAATGTAAGAAAATAACTTTGTTCTTTCGCTGATCGTTAAATTCATAGTTTAATTATTATAGGAAATAAAATATCAAAATCAGATTAGTAATGTCTGCTTCATAAATCCTCTTTCGCTTTACGTTTTTAAATTAATGCCTTTACCTTCTTTCTGTTAGCTTATACTAATTGCTCCTATATACTACAGTAGTATTGAAAAATTGTAAACTAATCATCTTTAGTATAAATTTTTTATTTATAGCTGTAGATACTTTTGACCTTAGAGTGATAGATTTGATGATAAAAGGTGTAGAATATTTTACAATAAAAGTATAGATAGCATTGTGCCGTGAGTACTAAGAGAGAAGTGGATTTTATATTTGAAACTTCTAAGGCTTGTTAATATAGATACATACAAATTAGGATCTTCTGTACTGGTACTTATAACAAATGGTAATGATTATGCTCGTTTTATAGATTGAAATATCTTGTCTATAACTTTTTTCTCCTAGATCTAAACTTCATATTGTTGATTTGGCGGGGTCTGAAAGAGTTTCCAAATCAGGGCTATCGGGCAAACATTTAGAAGAGGCTAAATTAATCAATCTTTCTCTATATTATCTTGAGCAAGTCATTATAGCACTACAAGAAGATATAAACTATGCAAGTAGACCCAACACCACATTAACTAATTCAAAAAAGAATCGTTGGTAAGATAAATAAATATACCTCATCTAAATTAAGGAATTTTTAAGTTTGACTTTATATCTACTAAGATTGCCGATATTATCGAAATAACTCTATTTTCATGATTAAATGTTATTCTAGGCAAAGATCTAATAGCGCTAATACAGTCCGTTCTGGTAGTAGCTCAGTTAACATATCTAAACATGTGCCTTATCGAAATTCTCTCTTGACTATGCTCTTGAAAGACAGCATAGGTGCTATAGAGTTTACATGACTACTACAATGATACATATTTGATTCCAATTTTAGAGTATCCTAATCTGTATACTTTGCAATTTATAAGGTGGTAATTGTTTAACATCCATGGTTGCTACCATATCAAGTGATATGCATAATTTAATGGAAACTATGTCGACTTTTCGATTTTCACAACGTGTTGCTTGCATCGAAAATTATGCGAGGTAAAGACATTAGCTCTGATTTATCTCATTCATTGAGGAATAATGTAGACTACTGCTGTATAATTGGGCTTGTATTGAATATTATTTTAATCGAACGGTTGTTAATTGTAATGAATTAATACTGGTAGCTAAAGTACTTATAAATGGTGGATAATAATTTACAGAATATTCACTGAAGTAGTATTTACTCACTTCATTTTAATGAATTGCACCCTGATATTATATGACGAGGTAAAGAATTTCAGCTCTGTTTCCTTCCATTCCTTGACGAGTAATATAGTCTATTACCATAAAATGGGGCTACATATTGAACATTGCACGAATCGAACGGTTGTTGACTGTAATAAATTAGTTTCGATAGAAAGCGTTCTTCCAATCGATGCATAATAATTTACTCCGAATTCATAAAAGTAGTATTTATTTACTCCATCTTATTGAAGTTATAATTACTTTTGCTGTACTGTATACTAAATGTCGCCAGTACTACATCCTAGATTTAATAGGTAGAGAATAGCATTCGTCCTGCGGATAAGCGAAAGAGCTAGAAAGATAGAGTTTTATTCGCTTCGAACCGATACATAATTTACTTGACGGTCGTCAAAGTAGTATACACTTCATTTTATTAGAGTTATAATTTCTTTTATTGTATGGTGGATGTTAGTAGTATTGTATCCTAGCTTTGACACGTAAACGATGGCGTTAGCCCTATAGATATGTATAAGAGCTAGAAAGATAGTTTTATTAGCATAAATTAAACACGAATTTCTTATATACCGCTATGTTGTTAAGATTTCATGTTTTGTAAAGTGATTAGTTATTACAAATGCATTTACGAGAAAATTTTAGTAATTTTAAGGGATGTTATTATAATTTTAGATAAAAATTGTTCATGAAAAGGCATTTCTTACTTGTTAATAATATAGACGAAATAAAGAATTAAACGATAAAACTATTATTAAGAAACTAAAGGAGAGAATAGTTCAACTTGAAGCTCACTTAATTTCTGGTGAAAGTGAGGTAATGTAATTTATGTTTTTCGTTTTACAATAATTGATCCATAGTATTAAACAGAAAATTAACATAACTAACTTTTATTTATAGCCATTGACGAGGTATTTTATGTATTAATTCTTATTATTAAATGATGATATTACCTAGAATGAACAAAAATTAGGAAATTCTAGTCGTAAGCTTGATCTAGTGGATAAAAGAGATTGTGCAGAAATCGTTCACGCTTTTATAGCCGGAAAAGTAAACGATCCAATTAAAGCAGGTAGAACCCTTTAATAACGCAAGTTTTAACACAGTATCTTGTAAAGTAGGATTTAATGCCTGGTTTGTATCTTAATTAAATTTAAATTTTGGTATCTTCTAGGTGTAAATAGTATCGAAATGTTTAGAGAATGCTTCGTGATTTTTCGGGCTATTATTACTCAGAACAACATCAACCCTGAAGGATTCGAAAGGACAGGACAATCGAATGGTAATTTTCATTTAGTTATTGCAAGATTTCGCGAAAGAAAGAGTTTTAATATAATTAATATTGTACGATGAACGAATTTCATTCTATTTCTCAGTTTTCTACTTGTATATAATCACTAGATTCCATTTGGTCACGGGAGAATGATCGCAAAAGGAATAAATCGACTCCATCGAGTAAATTTGTTACTATGAACGATAACCGACAATCTTATGATATAGACAATGATGATCAACAGCTTCGTTATCATTATTTAGCCCATCAGAGCAATACTAGTAGTCCAAGTAAATTAGCAAATAGTCCGGTTAAACAAATCTATAATAGCAAATATCAGGGGTTTAACCGATCCGATAATTTATTGAAATCACCATCCAAAAAGTATAAAAGAAGTAAAACTTCAACCAATTCCATGTCGTCATCGACCAAGTCTACTCCTGCAGTAAATAAAAGTGCTACCTTTATAACCAAAGAAGAGAGTAAAGTAAAACATCGAAAAAGCAAATCGACTTCTAATATCGCAATATCATCATTAACAAACGAGTCTAAAGATAGGAAACTACCTGCTTCTCAAGGTCGTCAAGGAATGTTAAATCAGTCAAGGTACTTTTTGATAAAGTAGTGGATGGATTTCTACGGCTATAGAACATTAGTAATACACGCGTGTAATAGTTAGCACTGCATCATAGAAGATATTCATTGTAGATTTCATTTTCTATCATAATTTAGCTCTCAATATGATCCCCCAAATTCCATGAATAACGTAGAAAATGAAGGTTTATTACAACAGAAACGGTTATTTCGAGATGATGAAATTGGTCCAGTAATTCAAGAATTAACATTCATACAACAGGAATTGAGGTTGGTTGCTCTAACAATATTTTCTGCCGCTTGTAATAGAAAATAAATTTCATTATTCTAAAGTAGAGTATATCCTAAACTTCTTCTATCGTATTGATCGTCGTGTTTGAATGGTCATGATAGACGAAATGCCTTAACACTTGAAGACCAGCTAGCAGAACAACATGCTGAAATATTAAGATTAAAGCGTCGTAATGTCAACAACGAAATTATTGCTCGAGAGAAATTAGTGGAGAAGCAAATAAAAAATAAACTGGTAAATAAAGGATCTATTATTTGAGCCATCAAAGCAAACGCAGAGTTGAAGTTATTTGTAGTCTCTATGCCATTTTATTAATATTATTCGATGATAGGGTAGTGAAGCACGATTTAAATATATCTTGGATTTTATAAATGATTTTACTAGGATCGCACCGAAGTTCGACTTTCTCAGGTATCGCAGCAGCTAAAGCAACTTCTTGTAAATAAAAGTTCTCATGATGATCCTGATTATCGAACTCCAACCTCACATGGAACGATAATTTCACCAGAGTCTAGTATGAAACAGTATGGAATCTCTGTAAGACTACAGAATCCAAATAAAGCTAAGGATCAATTAGCAGCACAAGCAAACAAAACACCAACATCAACGGAAGAAAGTTCAAGATATTCCCATGAAATGGTAAATAATTTCTTCTTAAATCAATTTAAGCTAGGATAGACCATGCTTCATTTTTTGCGTATTAAACATAATTTTATTCTCTTTCTAACGGATAGAAATTAAATTCAACGGAGACATTGAATGGAGATGAAAATCAACAAAAGTTAATAGCTAAGGAGGAATCAACCAGGCAAAAATTGTTAGCTTTTAAAGCTCAGTTACGTGATAATCGAAAAAATTCAACTAGCCGAAGTACATCAGCGCCTCGCGAATTTACTAAACAGTATGATATGAATACGAGTAGTGGCGTTCAATCGGCTCCAGGAAGTAGTTGGAATACGGATGTTGAAAATAAGGCTGCATCGGATTCATTTTCCAAAGTTTTTACTATGCCAACCTATGGCCCAGCAGCTTTCGCTATGGATCCTACTAATAGTATCAAAACTCAGTCTTCTAATGCAAGTACATCCATTATGACCAACACTAGCAATGCCACAAGTAGCCCAGATTATGTCACGCCGACAAAGCCGATGGAATCCATGAAGGTACATAGATACACCAATGATATTCATCGTTATTATGACTATCTAGGACTAAAATATTGCATACCATATAGAGAAAAAAGAATTTAGGTTTTCTTTGATCTTATGGTGTACCATAAGAGAGAAATAGATGAAGCAGCAAGATATAAATGTTAATGTTATTTTTCAATATTAAATCTTAGCAACAACCGACGAAACCAACCTATGGAAAACGTGGTTATAATCCTAAAAGTGTATTTAGTATCTCCAATACCCTATCGGAATATCCTTCCACTCCAGAAAATGAAACGATAACATCACCTAATGTGGGCCTTCATCATCATAAAGCAGTTAATGAAAATCATTCCTTGGCAGAGTCTAGCTACCAGACTACTTCATCCAGCCAGATAGTCATGGACAGAAGGCAAAAAATTGACACATCAACTGGCAAGCAAGAACAAACATCTCCAGTAGGCATTAATATTAGTCCAAAAATGTTTAAGAAATCAACGCCTTCGCATGCTAATATACCTAAAAAGTCAATAATAGGCCCTGAAAAATTTACTGTACAAAGTATTAGTAATGATGTCATTGCTGATACAGAACGAGAAAATTCTTATTCGTCTGCAGTACGAAAGCAAAAAGACCGAATTGCCAAGATTCGAGCTGCCATGAAGGCTGCAACGGTTATACAACGAGCTTGGAGGAGTTACAAACTTCGTCGTGGTAGAAAATTGCCTACTAAGCGAATATAATCATCGGCTCTCTCTCTCTCTAGCAAAGTTGAAATGGCACTCTCTTGCTTTCCAATAGCGCTAGATGCTTTCCCAGTTTGGACTACGTCCAGTCCGATGTTCATAGTGCCCTTTCTAATTCAGAATAACAAAGTAAATATTATGTCTGCAACGCAAATGTAAAGATAGGCAGGAATACAGCAGAAGAAAAAAATCGAGCTATAATGAAGATTATGTCTGTTAAAGGAGAGATTGACCAAGTTGCTAATTTTATCGTGCTAAAAAACTTGTCTATATTGTAACGCCATCATCATCTATTTCTCTAGAACTAGCTAATGTAAATTGATAGTTAAATGCTTTCATTTTGGTTGAGACCATATGATTTTTAGAACATAATTCAGGCCCGTAGTGTTGAATTTTATGCCTATAATACAAATGTAAGATAGAAGGAAATAGAAGAAAAACGAATCGAGCTATAATGAAGATGATATCTGTTAAACGAGATTAACCAAGTTACCAATTTTATCCTTGTTCGACTACTTGTCTATATATCGTTGCAACGGAATCAAATCTCTTTCTACAACTAGCGAATATAAATTTTCGCGTAAATCCATCGATTTTGTCTTATACGATATGACTTTTAGTGCTTAATGTAGGTGCATAGTTGTTGGAAATGTTATACTCAATATGACTATGGTAGCCAATGTAAATTTACGCGTAAATTCGTCAATTTGAAGGCACACAACATCATTTTTAGAGCGTAATATTGGTAGGTAGTTTTACAAAAGTTGAATAGAACTAGCTAATGCAAATTTAGGCGTCAATTTGTAGATTTCAATTCACACAATCTGATTTTGGATACGTAAAATGCCGTCAAAATTTTATGTTCAATAGGTGGAATACCTTTATTATTTTCATTTGTGTGTGTGTATATAAATATGTTGATCAGCGGCAACCAGTTTTTTTCTAGTGGTTTGATAATTACAATTGCCGTGTAAATTGACTTAATATCATCTACTACGATATTGTTGGAAGTGATGGCCAATGTTACTACATCTGGAAACAATTTTTTATTTGGTTTTTCGAACGGTCTGAGAATAAAAGATTTATTTGAAACTTGTATTCAAAGTTGATCTTCTTTAATTTGGCTTATAAAGAACTCTAGAATGCTTGTTAGCCTATAGTGAATGTCCATTTTGCATGATTTTACACTTTAACCTTGAAAATGATGCGGTTTTATTTCCATATCCATCCAGTTTGCAGGAAATGAATATTCTCTTTCGAAAACTTACACTTAATCCTTTTCTGCCAATATCTGATCGTTTGCTAAGCCATAGGGAGATTCATAGTTTAGTATCTATATCTAGATGAGTCAGCGAATTATTAACAGGAAAGGTGGAAATATTTGAATACCGTAGCCATTCCTGATCCAACTATTTTTGGAATGAAAAGTTGGAAGCTCGACGGAGAAAGTACTACAATTCACGTAGCCTACGAATTTCAACGGGGCCGTCATGATAAGTTCTGTCCAGATAGTATTGAAAAGATTGATCGTTATACAGTTTTCTCTTTGGAAGGTTTAAGCTACTGCGGTGTGGGGAAGAAACGCATCTTCCTCTATGATTTTAATTTTCAAATGACATGCGTCTACCCTTAAAATATTCAGCTTTTTGAAAATTATGGTACTGTCTGTAGCCAATTTCAGTAGCAATCATGATCAATTTAAGGGTAATAAGATACTATTACTAAATAACGTTTGACTACCAAATTCTCTCATGAATTACACATAAGGATATCAAACTGTCTTATTAGTCTTGATAGAGACAGTTGAATCAATCTGCAATGCATTCTCTTGGAAGGTCACTTAAATATCTAATATCTCTGCACAAAGTGATATGGATGCTTGTTGCTAACAGTACCAATTAATGCAATCATACGAAGTTTTAGCAAGAAATCCATGAGCAAATCTGCATCGAATAGTGTCTCTAGTAGAAGCATACGTTTATGTAATTAAGCGAAACTTGAATGAGAAAAACAAGGGCAAATCTGTTTATTCTTTTGCATCTGTTACAAGTATTGGCTTAGGCGTATGCAATAAAATATAGTTTGAAGAAGAAAATCTATAGCAGATCTACCTATGCATTTCTTGTTCAAACCTCATTTTATTGCATACGCGTAAATCAATACTTATAGCAAAAACAAAACAAACGATATGTAGATTTGCCCTTTCATTTCTTGTTCAAGTTTCACTTTTTATTGCATAAGCGTAAATCAGTACTTTCAACAGAAACAAAATGACTGGTAGATTTGCCTTGTATTTCTTAAGTTTCACTTTTTATTGCATATGCGTAAATCAATACTTTTGAACAGAAACAAAATGGCATCCAAATTTGCCCTTGCATTTCTTGTCTCAGCTTGACTTTATCGCATAAATCAGTGCTTCTACAAGCTCGAAACAAACCAAAATTAGATGTAGATACACCTGTTGATGGTTTGGCTCTGGTATTTGTTACTCAAACTTGACTTTATTGCATCAATCAGTGCTTCTACTAGAAATAAGATTGGATGCAGATTTGCCTATGGATATCTTGCTCAAACTTCATTTGGCTACGTCAATCAATCAATACTTACTTCTACGGGGAACAAAACGGCCTGCAGATCTGCGTGTAACCTTGCATCTGGTATGAGTACTGATTGCTGCAATTAAGAAAAGTTTGAGCAAGAAATGCATGGGCAAATTTGCATGTCATCTTGTTTCTGGTAGAAGTGATGATACCGATTACGACAAGCAAGTTGGAACAAGAAATGTATAGGCAAATCTGCATCGAGTCTTGTTTCTGCTAGAAGTAATGATTGATGCATAAGTGAAGTTTGAAAGGGAAATCTAAATGTCATTCACGTCTCATTTTATGGATGGTAGTGAAGGTGGGATCAACAGTAACGTCCGACTCCTACAGTTTATCTAATCTTTAAGTCAAGATTGCAACAGAGCAGTAGGCAATGTGTCTTTGCGATCCAACTCTTACTATTACTGATGTCTGCTCTAGAACTACAGTAGGTAGAAAAGTGACCACTCAATATGCTTTGGACAAGGCATTTTCATCGACTTTCCATGATTATGATTGAATGGCGACGAGTCGATCCTCTCATATTATCGACAGTAAGAGAATACTATCAAAGTCTATCAAAATTGCAGCAGTGGGATATGACTGTTGAGCAGTAAAGTTAGAACAAGAAATGCTGTGGCAAATCCGCGGGGAATTTATAACTGTTGAAAGTATGGATTTTACACGTAGGTAATCAAGTCAACAAGAAATGCTGTGGCCAATCTGCAGGGAATTTAATACCGTTGAAAGAATGGATTTTATACGTAGGTAATCAAAGCAACAAGAAGTGCAAGATCACATCTGTAGGGAATTTATTAGTGTTGAAAGTATGGATTTTACACTTAGGCAATCAAGGCAGCAAGAAATGCTCAGGCAAATCTGCAGGGAATTTGTTACTGTTGAAAGCATGGATTTTACTTGTAGGTAATCAGAGCAAGAAGAAATGCTCTGGCAAACCTGCAGGGGCTTTGTTACTGAATCAAAGCACCAAGAAA